TTAAATATAACATTCTTAATCATCAGGGAAATGCAAATTAAACAATTCTGAGATTTTATCTTATTCCTGTAAAACTGACCAAGATTAAAAATATCATTTGACAATTTAAGCTTACAGCTACTTTGAACATTAGCATGGTGGATTTTCAGAATTAGATAACGTATTACCTTAAAACTTAGCGACATCCTTTATATTGAAAGACCCCCACAGTATAGACAAACAGCTAAGCAGCAGCAATGCCAGGGTTAAACTTTGGAGCAACGCAAGTAACATTAGAGCAGGGAAGTTCGACTTGAGAACAAGGGCGGAGAAGCCAGGCGAGATATCTGCGGTCAGCCGGTCAGCCATCTGGCCCCAAGCGATAAGGAACCCGCAGCTGGCCTGCTCTAATGAGAACATCCCGTTTGCTTAGGGAAACAGGATGCCTATAGTCAGCACATGTGCCCAACTTAGAATATCAGTAATTCACAGAAGAGACAACTCCCCCTATGAAAGATCCCAGCTTAGCTGCTGTAACGTCATTTCACAAAGCTTTTGACGAACGACTGTAAGTGCAGAGTAAGGTCAGGGTCGCTGGCTGCAGAACAAGATATTTATATCCATAGATTAGGACAGGACATCAATTAACAGGATATCTGTTCCCATACATCTGTGCTGGGAGAGGAAAAACCACCTGTGCCCCTTGCCCCATTCCAACTGACCACTAACGATGCATTTGCTTCTGTAATCTGCTTCTGCTGCCCTCTTTCCTATAAAAAGACCTTCCCCCAGTCTGCAGGCGCGCTTGTCTCCCGAGAGACTAAGTCGCCCCAGGTACCTGTGTACTGAGTAAAGCCTCTTACTATTTGCATCCGAAGAGTGACTCGCTGTTCCTTGGGAGGGTCTCCTCAGCCTGAAAGACTGCCCACCACTGGGGTCTTTCATTATTATCATAGACAGAATCTGAAAACAACCCAAAATGCACCTTTTTTATATTAATAATAAATGAGAATCTTCGCCATGTTTTTTTTTTTAAATAGCCATAAACATTATGAAGAGTCAAAAGGGCCATTTTAACTCAACCTTATCATTCAGTAACACCCCTTTTGCCATTGTAGTGGGGTGAGAGGCTTTAGCAGATCTTTGCCATGTGGGGCAACTCAGGGTCCCCACCTTATCACAAGCATTGTGAGCAGACAAGTGTTAAATTCAGATCTAAAAACGGGCTGGCTTAGAAGCTCAGCTGGGCTGTTCATATGGCCCTGGCCCTGGGCCAGGGCTTTTACAGCAATAGTTCTTGAAGACAGTGTAGTCCTGTACCCATCTAAACAGAGCTGGGAATTTACTTTCCTCTGGACACACTGCATAGTAAGAAATATAGAAACCAACAATCTGTAGTTTTTTATAAGTACATTATTTTAAAGTGACTCAATTTAATTTTCCCAATTTTTAAACCAGAGGCGTTTACCCTGGATGCAGCACATGATGACTGGAACAGAGCATCCCCAGAAGAGAGATGCTATCAGGGCTGGTAGGCCCTTTTAATGTCAGCTTACTCCACTACCTGCCATTTCTGAATCCACATTCGCCATTTACCAACAGCCACAGGGATATTTACTTGCAATCTCTTGCCCTACTGCCAAAATAAAAAGGTCCAGGAAGCCACAGATCTTTGGCACAAGGCTTTACATGGCATTTGTAGAGGGGAGGCTGCCATTCAGTCCCTAGCACTTTATTTTCCAAGGAAAACGAGCCTCCCCCACAGGGAACCCCACTGGGGATCCTCCCAGGACCTGGCTCCAGCCTCAGCTCTGTCCACAGTGAGCTCCTAGCTGTATAACACAAGCTTCCCCCATCCCCACCTCAGTACTCACAGCAACCTAGCAGCTTTTCTCTGAATGGGATTCCAGAGGCCCCAGGAGGCATTCCCTCCAGGGAACTCCTCAGGTCAGGATTGGCCGGCCATCTGGAAGCCTCAACTCAGTTCCTCGGGGATGCCACATCGGCCACCATGGAGGCTCCTCTTTAGCCCTCACACTGCCAGTAGCAGCTGGGAAGACCTTTGCATTGGCTATGGGGGAGGGAACACCCTGGACTGTCTAAGGCAGCCCTCCTCCCCCAGTCCTCATGTGCGGTGCTGGTGGACTTCAGGTCAGCAAGGGAGGACGTCACTTTCAGCACAGGGATTTCAGGGGGGCAAGCATTCCCTTCTCGTGGATGTTCCGACCCCAGTCTCTACCTGATGAAGCAGGGAGAGCTAATTGTGAGCAGAGGTGGGCAGGATTACACGGCCCAACTAGTCATTAGCTGGGCTATTCCCGAGCAGCGCGTCTAAGGGAGCTAAAGCCTTTGGTTTTGACACAGCTAAGAGGGCTCTCCCATTAGTGAGCTCCCCTGTGGAGTGGGGTGTGGCAGAGGCTCAGTGTCACCCCAGGACCTGGCACTGAGGGGAGAGTTATGCTCCCTGGGCTCCTGTGATGATGCTAAGGAGTTCAAACGTCTCTGCATAGGCGCCCAAAGCAGAGGCTCCTCGCCTGGGCAACTGTAGCTGGAGCCCGAGGCGAATCCTCCGGGGACCTGCCTTTTTGCCCATGGTAACAGCTAAGGCGGCCGCAGCTGGACTGCGCCCTGCTGAGAAGTTTGCTCAGAGCTGGAGCTGGTTGCCCCGCCTAGGCCTGGCTCAAGGCTGTGCCACAGGAGATCACCAGCCCTGCTCCCTCCCCTATCGCGACAGCAAGCAGGGCAGTTCAGCGGCACAGCCTCAGCAAGGCACAGCCTAGAGAAGTGAAGGAGGGGCAGACTGTCAGTGTTCCTTTTGGATTTTCACAGAGTTAGGATCAAAGAGATGGTTACTTACTGCCCCATGGTACCAGATTTAGACTCGAGTACAAACAGATATACAAAACAAAGAACATATTAAGCACAAAAATACATAGACAATACAGATGCGCCGGCACGGTTTCAGCGTAATGCTGAAGGTAAAATTTCAAATGAAGGCAGTGGGGGTCCGGATTCCCCTCCTCCAATCAAAACCACGTATCCTTCTGATACTGGCCAAGCCCCGAAAAATCGGGTACCAAATTCCCTGGAACATCTTCTAGGGCTGCGAGGGAAAGTCCAGGCCCGTCAGCCTCTTTCCTTCTCGCCAAATTCGGAGCACTCAGATCTACAAAGTTTAGTAGAAACGGACACAGACAAACACAAAGACTAACGAATCGGTGCTGGCCAGCTTACCTCCCAGTGGTGAGCTGGTAGCTCCTGGGTGGGGGTCTTCAATTCCCGGCCAATGAACCAAATGAAAGACCCTCAGAGAGGACCTTTCCTCCAATGAAGTCCCCAGAACCAGGACACTCCGAGTCCAGACCACAGGATGCAATTAGCAAGAGGTTTATTGAGTAAACACAGGTACCTGCAGGCGGCAAAGTCTTTAGGAGGACTTGCTGGCCTGCAGACTGGGGGGAGGTCTTTTTATAGGAAAGAGGGCAGCAGAAGCAGATTACAGAAGCAAATGCGTGGTTAGTGGTCGGTTGGAATGAGACAAGGGGCATAGGTGGTTTTTCCTTTCCCAGCACAGATGTATGGCAACAGATATCCTGTTCCTCTTTTGGTTTTTCCTTTCCCAGCACAGATGTATGGCCACTGACATCCTGTTGTATAGACGTCATATCTCATAGATATCCTGCTTTACAGATGGTCCTATTTTATAGATATCCTGCTTTGCAGCCAGGGACCCTGACCTCACTCTGCACTTACATTTGTTCGTCAAAAGCCTTGTCAAGCTGGGATCTTTCATAGGGGGAATTGTTTCTTTTGTGAACTGCTGATATTGAAAGACCCCCACTCACTAAGCAGCAGTAATGCCATTTTGCAAGGCTTAAACTTTGGAGCAACGCAAGTAATTAGAGCAGGGAAGTTCGACTTGAAAACAAGGGGGGAGAAGCCAGGCGAGATATCTGCGGTCAGCCGGTCAGCCACCTGGCCCCAAGCGATAAGGAACCCGCAGCTGGCCTGCTCTAATGAGAACCTCCCGTTTGCATAGTCAGCACATGTGCCCAACTTAGAATGTCAGTAATTCACAGAAGAAGACAACTCCCCCTATGAAAGATCCCAGCTTATCTGCTGTAACGTCATTTCACAAAGCTTTTGACGAACGACTGTAAGTGCAGAGTAAGGTCAGGGTCCCTGGCTGCAAAACAGGATCTTTATATCCATAGATTAGGACAGGACATCAATTAACAGGATATCTGTTCCCATACATCTGTGCTGGGAGAGGAAAAACCACCTGTGCCCCTTGCCCCATTCCAACTGACCACTAACGATGCATTTGCTTCTGTAATCTGCTTCTGCTGCCCTCTTTCCTATAAAAAGACCTTCCCCCAGTCTGCAGGCGCGCTTGTCTTCCGAAAGACTAAGTCGCCCCAGGTACCTGTGTACTTAAGTACTTAATAAAGCCTCTTGCTATTTGCATCCGAAGAGTGACTCGCTGCTCCTTGGGAGGGTCTCCTCAGCCTGAAAGACTGCCCACCACTGGGGTCTTTCAATATTCTAAGTTTGGCACCTGCGCTGACTATAGGCATCCTGTTTCCCTAAGCAAACGGGATGTTCTCATGAGAGCTGGCTAGCTGCAGGTCCTGAGAGGGTCCTGAGGGTCTCAAGCAAACAGGATGTTCTCATGGGAGCAGGCCAGCTGCGGGTTCCGGGGGTGGGGGGGTATCCAGAGGGTCTTTCAATAGTACAATACAAGCACTACAGGCACCAACATTTCACAGTAAACTCAATAAGAAGGGCTTTTCTTAAACACGATGCCACTCCCAGTGCTCTCCGTGGATAAATTATTCAGACTGCTGTTTTAGCACAGGGTATTAAAGGACCACATAGATACCATGGAGAACCAAGCAGAAACATGCCAAACTCAGCACGTGCCCACTAGCTCCCAACCAAACAAGAGAGGACCCAGCACATGGGTTCTGGTATTTCAGCCAGCTGCTCCACCAGTCTGGGGACAGTGGCGCATCACTCACCATGGCCTGCCACTTTTCCTTCTCCGAGGACAGCTGCCCATATCTCACCATGGCCTGGCTGCAGAGCTCAGCCATGCTCTCTGCACAAGGATCCCACAGTGCAGCAGAATTTGGCCGAACTTCTGAATTGCACGTGAGAGCGCGGGAGCCTGGAAACCAGAAGAACCCTCCCATCTGAGTGGCAGGTCGGCGGAAGGCTCTGATTGGCTATTTTTGCCGGAGTGACATTCATAGTGAGCAGAAGGAACACAGCACAATGGTTCTTAGGTGGAGCTTCCTTTCTAAGCACACCCCTATCTCAGAGTTCTTGGAAGATTTGAGCCAAATTCCACAAGTCTCTTGTTAATGTTAACCTGTGGTTTCTGTACTCAAAGGACGTATTCAAATTCAGAAGGAGGCTATTCAAGGAATGCTACACTGATCAAACACATGGTAACTCGAGATTATAATAAAATCAAGTCTACAGTGGCATTCCCTGTAATATGTTGCGTTTGCAGGACCTGAAGCAAACCCTTCTTCACTAAAGGCCATGGTTGCAGGACATTACTAGAGCTTCCAAGCATATTCTTGGTTTCAAAGGAGATCTATTTTCCCTCGATATAGCAGGGTCTCAGAGAAACATCACGAGGCCCATGCAGGTTGCTGTTTTTGGAGAAGTCTAGTTGCTCAAGTGTCATCTAGAAATAATTCATTTTCATTTGACATTTAGGCATAAAATTAATTTGGAGATATTTGTGGAGGTTGAGTACTGCGTCTCACAATCTGGGTGGAACTCCTATGCTGATCTGTAATGTATAAGAGCAGAACTGCTGGTATAAAGGAGTTAATAACCCTTAGAAAATATTAAATGGCACAAGATAGGATTCACCTGAGGGAGGGCTGCCTCTAAAACATCCCAAAGGCTAGTAGTATGCCAAGCAGGCCTGAATAGGATCAGGATGCTTGTGGGTAAATTATTCATATTTTGTATCTACTCTCAATGGGCATTTTTCCATGGTAAAAACAGCGAATGGAATGCATATCGACTGAGAGGATAGACAGACCCTCTGAGTAAAGATCTTCCTATAGTAAGCTGCAGAATCCTAGTTTTAAAAGGGATTTCTTAGATGTGTTGTACTGGATGCTGGACACATCCAGTTAACAATTTTTTGGTAATCATATGCTGGTGCTTGCTATGCCTGCATATGCCCATAGAAATCCAAAAGGATAGTTAGAGCAGCAATGCTCTGTACTGTATGTGTTTGCTCTAAGGTTTAGTTGAGCACATTGTGCTTAGGAAATATGAATTCATTGCATTATGTCATACACAGAGTCTATTCAGCATTCTGGTACTTAACTGTTGCTAACCATTATTTGAAGACCAGCAAGTGGTACATTCCTATTACTGGAAAGTTATGAAAGTGTAAATCACTGGATTAAGGTACATAAAGGATGATATTTAGAGACCATACATTCTATTAAGATTCACACATTCAGATAGCAAGTATTTCCAGGACAGGCTTTTGCAGGCCAAATGAAAATTTATTGTGTTACCTCTGGGTTTTGAAATATTAAACAGTAGTTAATGGTAACAAAATGGTGAAAACAGATATTTTGGGTGTTTCAAAATCATTCTCGGAGGATATTCTATTATGCTTAGTGTGACTAACACAAAAAATATTTATCCCTTTTTCCTTGAGGTTCAATAAGGATCAAGAGGCCGGGGATGACGGGCCTTAGTCACTTGTCTTATTCAAGGAGGACGTAGAGACCCCGTGCAATGAATTGAAATAGTTTTCAATCTACAGCAAGGAGAGTCAATGTGGAAAAAGATTTTGTGTTGGTGTCAAACGAACCCACTGTACATATAGCTGCGCCTTTGACTCATCCTAACATTGATGGATAACTGTGAAAAGATGGGATAGAAGAGTCTGAGTTTCCCCTTTAACCCAAGTGGCCCATGTGGACTAGCTGCTCAATTTGTCTTGAGAACATAGAAAGGAAAATGAATTTGGCCATCTGCATGATCTTCAGCACTCAGGAGGAATGCTTAAACAAAGACTGAACCAATGAATTGGTCACAACCCAAAGGATTGCACTCCACAAACATTAGACGTGAATCTACATGAGGTATTTAGACAACCAACCACAGTAATATTTTCCCCTCCACACAACGACATTTCCCAGATGTAAGACATCACACTTTGCCTCAATAAGCATGAACTCAGACGAAGTTTTAAGTGTTATTTAGGAATAAAAAACTGGTAGGGTAGGACAGAAAAAGGAAGAGAAACATAGACAGTGTAAGAGACAGAGAGGAGAGAGGGTGACAGAGAGTTAGGAGAAAAGAGAAATAAAAGAAAGGAGAGAGGCCCAGATTTGCCTCTTCAGAAGAAATGCAGGCAGAGACAAAGGTGTCCAAGGTAAGCTTGCCCCAGTGAGAAGAAAGAGACTGGAAATGGGTGGAGCTTGTCTCCTAAAGGGACAGGGTACTGACAAGGAATGTTGATTTCTCAAAAAATTAGGAAACAACCTACTTCAAGATCTAGCAATTCCATTTTGGGGCATATACCTAAGGGATGCTCAATTATACCACAAGGATGTGTGTTCATAGCAGCATTATTTTTCATAGCCAGATCCTAGAAAAAAAACTAAATGCCTGTCAGCCAAAGAATGGAGAAGGAAAATGAGGTACATTTACAGTTGAGTTCTATTCAGCAGAAAAAGCAATGATATCTTGAAATTTGTGGGTAAATGGATGGATCTAGGAAATATCATGTTGAGTGAGGTACCCCAGGCCCGGAAAGAGAAATATAATATGTACTCACTCATGAGTGGCTTTTAGACATAGAGCAAAGTTAAACCAGCCTGCAATTTACAATGCAAGAGAACACAGACAACAAAGAGGGCCACAAGAGAGACATACATGGATCTAATATACTTCGAAAATAGAAAATATCAAGATCTCAGGCTGCAGAGATGGCTCAGAGGTTAAGAGCACTTACTGCTCTTCCAAAGGTCCTGAGTTCAACTCCCAGCAACTATATGGTGCCTCACAACCATCTCTAATGAGATCTGATGCCCTCTTCTGGCCTGCAGATGTACATCCAGGCAAAACTCTGTAATATAAAATATAATAAAGAAAATATTAAAAAAAATCCCCAGTTAATTGTGAATATGCCTATCATGCGAGAGGGTAGAAAATGAGGGTACAGAAAGGGAAGAGAGCAGAGAAAAATATACAGACAAATAAAAATAATTAAAAACATGAAGTGACAAATGGAAAAGTAATGGGGTTATGAATTTGAAAAGGGAACACTAAATAGGGTATGCAAATCTATAGCACATCAAGCTATGTTGTGAGATATAGAGTTAATTGCTGAGTATCTTATTTCATTATATGTCAACCAAGGAATATCTGGCTTTGAATATGCACATGATATATTTATTGTTTCTTTATTAACTTCTTGATTTACTTAGTGTATTTAGTTACTAGATTTTCTAGTATAAAGTATTTTAACATTAATTAGACCAAAGCATGTTATATCACATGTACAGAAAAGGCAAAAATACACATCCATAAATGCTTACAGCTGGATTAGATAATTAATATAATGCAAGAGCATTTGGAAATCTAAAATGGTTACATCATTTTTTGAAAAAAAATCTGTAGGGCTTTCCTTCATATGAGTTTGCAGGTACAAGCAAAAAAAACATAAAAATGCTTAGACAGATTGCTGATTTTGACAGAATATTTTTACCAGATACAATAGCAATGTGTAACTTAATAATGAATGTAGGCCGAATATGTTGCCAAATCTTTTATATTTAGATTCCCTTTGATATTGCTTTTGCATGTCCTCAAATAGTACTGTAATAAGAACAGGCTTTAACTCACTGACCATACACTAAAAGTTTATTCTTATAGAAAAACTACCATGAAATAGAAAAAAATTACTACACTGACAAGATTTATCGAGGTTTTACAGTATATTTTCTCATGACTTCAAAGACTTCTGATACATACAAATGTTTAACCACATTGATCATATTCATACGTATTCCTCAAGTATGTATTCCTTTATGATTCTAAAGATTATTGCAATTAAAAAGGCATCTTACAGTGACTGCATTCAAAGGGTTTCTCTGTAGTATGTGTTCTGTTATGCCTTTGAAGATTCCTGTGACATGTAAAAGCTTTACGACACTGATTATATTAATAGGGTTTCTCTGCACTATGTGTTTTTTTTTTTTTTTTTTTTTTTTGCTCTGGAAGACTATTGTGATATGAAAAGGCTTTACCACACTGATACATTAATAGGGTTTCTCTGAACTATGTGTTTTCTTTATATGCCTCTGAAGACCACTGTAATACAAAAAGGCTTTACCACACTGACTACATTCAAAGGGTTTTTCTCCACAATGTGTTCTGTTATGATTTTTAAGATAACTGTGACATGTAAAAGCTTTACCACACTGATTACATTTATAGGGTTTCTCTCCAGTATGTATTCTTTTATGTTCTTGAAGACCACTGGGACGTGTAAAAGCTTTACCACACTGACTACATTCATAGGGTTTTTCTTTAGTATGTTTTCTGTTATGAATTTGAAGAAGATAGTTATATGTAAAAGTTTTACCACTCTGATTACATTCATAGGGTTTCTCTCCAGTGTGTATTCTTTTATGTCGTTGAAGACTACTGCATTGTGTAAAAGCTTTACCGCACTGATTGCATTCAAAGGGTTTCTCTCCAGTATGTGTTCTTTTATGTCCTTGAAGACTACTGGGAAATGTAAAAGCTTTACCACACTGACTACATTCATAGGGTTTCTCTGAACTATGTATTTTCTTTATATGCCAATGAAGACCACTGTAATACAAAAAGGCTTTACCACACTGACTACATTCATAGGGTTTCTCTCCAGTATGATTTCTTATATGACTCTGAAGACTACTGGGACGTGTAAAAGCTTTACCACAATGACTACATTCATAGGGTTTCTCTCCAGTATGTATTCTTTTATGTTCTTGAAGACGACTGGGATGTGTAAAAGCTTTACCACACTGATTACATCCATAGGGTTTCTCTCCAGTATGCGTTCTTTTATGTATTTGTAGTCGAGTCGCACATGCAATGGCTTCATCATGTTGAATACGTTCACACGCGTTCTCTTCTATAAAACTTCTTTCATATCTTTCAAAGTGACTGTTATGGAAAGAGTTTAACTCATTAAAATATTCAGAAGGTGTCTTTGGACATATAAGAGCATTAAAACATTCATTACACTTTAAATCCTTATATCTGTATGAATTTATTTTAGCATTTAGTCTATCTTTTTATGTACAGAACGTTCCTCTTGCCTGTACACCTCCATGCCAGATGAGGGCATCAGATCTCAATAGCAATGGTTGTGGGCCATGTAATTGCTGTGATATGAACTCAGGACATCAGTGCTCTTAGCTTCTAAGACATGGTCTAAGTTTGAAGAGAAATCAGAACTTAGGTTTTTATCATGTCATGTAATCTCATGTTTTCCCTTTACTAAAGTTGTTGTGCATCTTTGCAGATGCCTTTGATGGTAAGAGCCTTTATTACATAGTTTACTTTTGGAACATCTTATATTTGTATGAGATTTTTCACAAATGTAAAGAGAACTGGCAAAAGTCAGAGAATCAAAAACAAGAGTGCGAGTCATACTACATTTGCGAAGTGACTCGTGACACACAGAGGTGGCTACAACACCTAGTCCTCACCTAGCAAACACTACTTTCCTAACGGACATTGAGGTGTATGGCTTTTTGAGAATTTAATAACCATCAATACACTTTAAGCTTGTTTATGTATATCGCTGCATTTCTTTTAATAATCCAGGGCACATTTAGCTTTTCTCAGACACACACTTAAATAATTTTGCTTATTCAAGTTACCTTCCAAGTCCTCTAGAACTTTGAGAATGCTCTTCAATATTTTGATCCTCCCAAGTGCATCCTAAAAATAATACCAGAAAATATGTGATATGTGATTGGAAATTGTGCAAACTTTAAGTTATTATCTTCAATGAACCTTAGCACCATGAATGATTTATTGACCATACTCTTTCTCTTTCTCAATCCACATTACAAAAGACCCTCAATAACAAGGAAACACTTGTCCCCTTATGTTAAAACGTGAGTAAATTTCACCATCTTACCAATAGCGGTGAGGTTCATGAAGGTCTCCAGCATCACATCCTTGTAGAGATTCTTCTGGGAAGGGTCCAGCAAAGCCCACTCTTCCGGGGTGAAGTTCACATGCACATCATCATAGGTCACTGCATTCTAATATATCCCATACATGTGGAAAACAAAAGGTGTGATACCATCAACATTGTAAATGCATACAGTATGATCTTCTAATTCTGGTGCTTCTCGTATTTATTTCATGAGAGGAACTTTATTTTGCCATCGCCACATCACTACAGAATGAAACTGAATAGGAAGTTCACCCCTGTCATTTCTTCAACCTTTAAATAAGATTCATCTTGCAAAAGAAATGCTGTCCGCAGTAAACATCAGAGAAACTGTTTGACCTATTACTAAAAACAAAATATAATAGGCTAAAACAGGTATTGACTCATGCCTTTAATACCAGCGCTTAGAAGGCAGAAGCAGGTCTATCTTTCTTTCTATGTGTTAGATTGATATTTTGAAGGCAGACAAGGTCTAAATATGTATTTTTGTCAAACACAGATGCCTGTAACAGAACTGAAGTGAAATCACATACTAAGAATCCGTGACCTGTAACGTTGCATCTTTTTTGTATACTGGACCAATAGAACCTCAAAAGTTCACCCAAATGTTGAGTCTACATTGTAACGGCCCATGCCATGCTTGGAACAGAGTTGCTGCAGATTCAGAATGAAGTTTGTTTCCTTGGACAAAGGATCTCTTTCTCTATTCGTAACATAAATTCAAGGTATTGAGGATGCCTTCCTAGGCATCCTATTCTGAGGTTGAGCCTTCTCTTCAATGGTGCTAAACACCTTGAAATGTCCTTTCTCTGTTTCATCATACAACTGCCTTCTGTAACAACCAAGTGCTGATTATCTCTACAAAACAGAAGTGTAAGTATGCTATAGTTATAGGGTGTATAATAAACAATTTGTTTTCTGATGGACATAGGTGAAGCCTTGTCAAGTTTTTTGAGCCTCTAAGTTTATGACCTATATGTTAAGAACCAGTACACTAAAATGATATAAATGTATAAATACATAAATTTGTTCTTAATAAAAATAAGATAACATTCTAGTGTGTGCGAGCGCTTTGTTTTATTTTATTTTTTTAATCCAGCTATATAATTTTCTCCCCTTCTCAAACTCCCATGGTCCCCAAACTACCAACTTTTGCAGGAGATCTTTTCTTTTCTAATTGTTATGTTGTTGATAAGACCCATGTGTGTCTCTCTTAGGCTCCTTCTTGTTGTCTAGGTTTTCTGGGATTGTAGGTTGCTTTTCTAATTGATTTTTATTGAGCTCTACAGTTTTCTCTGTTCCACTTCCTACCTCTTCCCTCCCCTTCAACAGTCTCCCAAGTTCCCCAAGATCCCAATTTATTCAGGAGATCTTTTCTTTTTCTACTACCCATGTAGATTACATCTATGTACATGTCTCTTAGGGTCCTCATTGTTGTCTAGGTTCTCTGAGGTTGTGATTTGTGGTCTGGTTTTCTTTATTTTATGTTTAAAAAACACTTATGAGTGAGTTCATGTCATAATTGTCTCTCTGGGTCTGGGCTACCTCACTCATAATCATGTTTTCTAGCTCTATCCATTTTTTTTGCCATATTCAAGATGTCATTATTTTTTCTGCTGTGTAGTACTCCATTGTGTAAATATACCACATTTTCCTCATCCATTCTTCAGCTGAGGGACATCGTTCCAGGTTCTGTCTATAACAAACAATCAAACAATGTTGCTATGATATAGTTGAGCACATGTCTTTGTGGCACGATTGAGCAGTAATACCTCTTTTAGGTATTTATTCAAAAATGTTTTTTCTTCTTTGTATTTAAAAGCCAATTAGGTATGAGTATATATGATATTTTATAATAAAATTCATAGTGACTGGGAAAGGTTGTAAAATAGAAACAATAGAGTTTAGAGCAGTAATAGAGTTAAAATGAAATTTAAATAATTCTGCCACAATGGAGTTGTTAAAAAGTTAAATGTATTGTAAGAGTACTTAGGTAAACTCTACTTGAAAAAGAGGAGGACATTTCCTTATTGAATAAAAGCCCATAACATTGTCTGTGTGACTGTATGACTTTGTCCCATGTAAAATTTTAGTTGCTGAGTTGCTATAAGCTGACAAAGAGTGACAGCCAATGGCCTGTGTCTCAAACCTCTCAGCAGACTTAACTGTGTCACCCAGGATTGCACACATCTGCATGGGAGAGTCAGCTACTTGGAATCTAATACTCAGTGGTTAAAGGTACTATCCCAATATTATAAGCCCATCAATAATATCTGTCATGATTCACATGGAAGGATTTAATACATGCTGGGAAATTACACAGACAGTCACTAGCCATGCCCCATCATGACCTTCTCTATGATCTAGAGCTCTGTGATCTAGGTATTGCCTAGTCTGTTCTTCAGTGCCCTGTCCACAGGACACTGCCCTTCCTCTTCTGGTCTGAAGGGAGAGTCACACTCCACATGCAAATCCTCTTTTTTTTTTTTTTTTGTTTCTGCAATGGACAGCCCATGATGTGACTTCAACTGGTAATTTGAGAACTCTGTGGTGTGGCAATGGTGTAATCCCAAAATTTAGGATGGTTAGTCAGGGGGATAGCAAGGACAATGCCCTGTGGGCCTACCACAGGGTTCAAATCTATCTTAGTGAACACTGAAGACCTTAACACATAACTGCTTTTCAAATAGGTTTAACATGAAGTGGTTCAAGAATTAGTATATTTTATGGCACATTGGAACTTAATGATGATTGTGACCATATAATGGCCCGTTGACAGCGTACCGGAAGCCTGATCTTTGGTATGGAGAAGGGATGGCTTTGGTCCACTTAAGCAATTTTTTTCTTTTCTTATGGGAATGTCGATTAATGGCTGATGAATACTGGTGAACAATCTTTTACAGTTTTTAATTTTCAAATTTATTAGATTTAAAAATAACTGATCCAAGTTACTATTCGCTCCACTCCTCCCATTCCCTCTATGCACCCGCCCACCCAACCCCCATCTAATCCTCAGAGAGGCTAAGGCATATTGCCTAGTGGAAAGTTCCAAGGCCTTCCCTAGTGAATATTGGCTGTGCAAGGTATACACCCCAAGACAATAGGACCCCCAAATCCAATACATAGAGATAAGTCCTGGGGCCACTGCCAGTGGTTCCTCAGTCTGCCCTAGCAACTGTCAACCACATTCAGAGGGACTAGTTTCGTCCTATGTTTCCTCCTTCCCTGTTCCTCTGGAGTTGGTGAGCTCCCATCAGCTCATGCAAGATGTTTTAGTGGGTGGACCCATCATGGTCTTGACCTTGTTGTTCATATTCTCATCTTTTCACTCTTCAAATGGACTTTGGGTGCTAAGTCCACAGCTTCGATGTGGGTCTCTGCCTCTGCCTCCATAGGTTGCTAGATTAAAGCTCTATAGGGGATATTTATGTTTTATCTTAATAATCTCTAACAGGCATGGTTTTCATACTACTTATCTTTAGTGTATTTTGGAGGCAGTACTCCCTTAGCTAAATTCTACTTTATGTGACTTAATGCCTCTTTAAGATTTGGTAGATCCTGATATATGATCAATTCTGTCACCCACAATTCTAATCTTTTGTAATTGTTTAACAATAGAAAGCTACTCTATACAGGGGGTATCATTTACAAACTCCAAACAATCACAACAATCAAATCCTGATGGATCATAAAGCTAAATGTTCAATTTTACTAGTGCAGAAATTCTGGAAGAGACTAGAGAGACCTGGCTTCTCTTTAGCAAATCTTCGTTCCATAATGAAAGACCCTTAGAGAGGACCTTTCCTTCAATGAAGTCCCCAGAACCAGGACACTTCGAGTCCAGACCACAGGATGCAATTAGCAAGAGGTTTATTGAGTAAACACAGGTACCTGCAGGCGGCAAAGTCTTTAGGAGGACTTGCTGGCCTGCAGACTGGGGGGAGGTCTTTTTATTGGAAAGAGGGCTGCAGACGCAGATTACAGAAGCAGATGCGTGGTTAGTGGTCGGTTGGAATGAGACAAGGGGCATAGGTGGTTTTTCCTTTCCCAGCACAGATGTATGGCAACAGATATCCTGTTCCTCTTTTGGTTTTTCCTTTCCCAGCACAGATGTATGGCCACTGATATCCTGTCGTATAGACGTCATATCTCATAGATATCCTGCTTTACAGATTGTCCTATTTTATAGATATCCTGCTTTGCAGCCAGGGACCCTGACCTCACTCTGCACTTACATTTGTTTGTCAAAAGCCTTGTCAAGCTGGGATCTTTCATAGGGGGAATTGTTTCTTTTGTGAACTGCTGATATTCTAAGTTTGGCACATGTGCTGACTATAGGCATCCTGTTTCCCTAAGCAAACGGGATGTTCTCATGAGAGCTGGCTAGCTGCAGGTCCTGAGAGGGTCCTGAGGGTCTCAAGCAAACAGGATGTTCTCATGGTAGCAGGCCAGCTGCTGGTTCTGGGGGTGGGTGTCCAGAGGGTCTTTCATTCCCCCTTTTCCTTTTTCATGGATTTAATCATAAATCCATGTGTTTAAAAACCTCTACGTCATTCTGCTTTAACATCTGATATTGCTGGGAGAGTACCATGGTTTGGATAACTGAAAGCCTGTCTTTTATAAATTGCACCAGGCGATTTAAAATGCAAGGGCCGATTGTAAAGATAAGAAGTAAAATAAGTAGGGGCCCAGCTTTGGTGGAAATTAAGGGTTTTAACCATGGCGATTTATTAAACCATCCTTTAAATTATCCGTGTTGTGATTTAAACAGCTTTTGTCTCTGCTTTAATCTTTTTCTAAGTTTGGTCATAGATCTTCTAACCAATCCAGTATGGTCAGCAGAAAAGTAACATTTTTCCCTGAGTGTAGCACAAAGACTCCCTTTCTTTAAAAACAACAGATTCAGGCCCCTCCTGTTATGGAGCACCACCTCTGAAAGATTTGCTCAGACAATAGCCACATGAAAACTAGTACAACTGATGGGACAAAATAACTCATACTTTACAGAGCAGTATTGGGAGAAGATAGTAAAACATCTCTAGGGTGTGCAGAATAGTTCTTAGTCTATTGACTACAAAGAGCTTAACT